TATTATTATTATTATTATTATTATTTTTATTTATTTTTACATTTTTGGATAAGTATGTTTTACCATTTACATTTTCTTTTCTTTTTAAAATAATATTTTCTAATGCACAAATGGAAACCTGACACATTTTTGGAACTGCTCCTGCACTGTAGTTTGAGCACCTGTTAATAAAAACGAAACTTGTGAAAAAAAAATGAATTGTATCTAAACTTGTTTCTGTTTTAATCCTGTTTTATTTTCACAAAATCCATGCACTTACATGTCTCTATGCTCTGTATACATATATGTCTGTCTTTGTGAAGCACCCTGGTGCAAACCTGTAGGCTGCTATATAAATGAAAGAAACTTGAAACTTGATTATCATTATAATTTAGGTTAAATTGTATTAATAAAATCACTGATAAAAACACTACAAATAACCTGTGTGGTCTGTTTTCTCCTCAGACATTCAGCTTTGCTTTTACATATGGGTTAGCGAGTGAAAGTTATTATGCTGATCAGACAAAGTCGCTGGATTACTCTGGATTAATAGCTACAAATTACATATAAATCACCCAACAGTTGTAAACTAAAGACAGAATGTCAACAGGAAGTATTTGCAAGCAGCTGGGTGTTTATCTGAACAATAAACTGGGCTGGACAGACAACACTATGCACTCTACAAGAGAGGACAGACCAGACTCTATCTGCTAAGGAGACTGAGGTGCTTTGGTGTACAAGAGGCACTCCTGACGATCCGCTATTACTCTGTGGTAGCATCAGCCATCTTTTATGGAGTGGTGTGCTGGGGCAGCAGTATCTCCGCAGCTGACAGGACTCAACAGACGAATAAAGAAGGCCAGCTCTGTCCTGGGATGCTCCCTCGACACGGTGGAAGTGGTGGAAGAAAGGAGAATGATAGTCATGCTATCATCCCTTATGGGCAACATGTCCCACCCCATGCAGGACACTTTGACAGCACTGGGCAGCTCCTTCAGTGACAGGCTGCTTCTCCCATAGTGTTTGAAGGAGAGGTATGAGTGGGTAATCTAAAATGCACTGAACTGAAGAAGTCTCTTGGATGAGAGGTGAAATGTCTTCAAGAAGCTCAAGCAAGTCCAGTTGCCTACAATATAGCACTTAAGACTACCATGAGCTGGATGACTGAGAATAATCTTCACCAACATGTTGCTAAACAGTTTGAAAAGAATGCTCTTCAGCTGCTACAAGAATTTGAAAGAACATCTAGGAAGCTGGCTGATTACAGAAACCACCTGATATTTAATTTCGGGATCATTTCAAAAAGCTTATGTTTGGGTTCTACCGTGTAAAGACACAGGGCAGCAATGATCCTTCAGAGACTCAGAACCAGCTGCTCAATGACCGAGTGAGACAGATTCATATCACCACTGATGCACTTAAATCTATGACTGAACAGATATTTGAGCAGCACTTCTACAGTGACGTCCTGGAGGATGTCTCTAAGTCTGTTGAGAGAGCACAGACATCGCAATACACTAAGGGCAAGGAACAAGGTAAGCTCCTCCTTGGCTACCCTAAAGTGTTCCCAGGCCAGATGAGATATGTAATCCCTCCGTCCTACTGGTGGGATGTGCCCAGAACACCTTCAACGGGAGGCATCCTGATCAGATGCCCGAACCACCTTAACTGACCCTTTTCAACACGAAGGAGCAGCAGCTCTACTCCGAGTTCCCTCCAGATTTCCAAACTACTCACCCTATCTCTAAGGCTGAGCTCAGCCACCCCACGAGGGAAACTCATTTCGGCTGCTTGTATCCACAATCTCATTCTTTTAGTCACTACCCAGAGCTCATGACCATAGGTGAGGGTTGGGAAGTAGATGGACCAGTAAATTGAAAGCTTCACCTTCTGGCTCAGCTCCCTCTTCACCATCATTGTCTGGCGCAGCCGCACCAAACCGCTGATCCATCTCACGCTCCATTCTACCCTCACTCGTAAACAAGATCCCAAGATACTTGAATCCCTCGTTTGAGGCAGTAACTCTCTCCCAACCCGGAGGGGGCAATCCACCGGAAGAGATGCAGGCCAGAGAACCATGGCCTCAGATTTGGAGGTGCCGACTCTGATCCTTACCGGTTCACACTCTGCTGCAAACAACCCCAGTGCATGCTGGAGGTCAGTGTGCTGAAGCCAACAGAACCACATCATCTGCAAAAGCAGAGATGCAATTCTGGGGTCTCAAACTGGACCCCTTCCTCCCCCTGGCTGCATCTCAAGACCCCGTCCATGAATATCATGGATTTCTATACCATACTATAATATCAGTCTTCCTGAGTTTTCTTTCAGCTTGCCTTTGTTGACTGACGGATCCCTTCCTCCTTTAAAAAAAGACATTTACTTTTTAGAGTAAACACCACGTTAATGCTGAGGCCATGCTTAGTTTTATTGAATGCCAAAAAAAGGAGAGGGAAAAAAAAACTACATGTTCAGCAATATGTTGAATGACAGCACAGCGTCTGACGAAACAAAACAAAGTCATCATAGTGAATAGGTATGAGCTCACATGAACACACTGTACAATATCATTACAGTTTAAATAACCATTTACCTTGGCCTTAAACAGCCATAAGCAGGTGGACAGAGCTTCTTAGGACAAGTAATCCTTCAAATAAACAACAGAGGAACACTCCGTCATACTAGATTACATTTTCAAAGACATGTACATGCTCTCTTTTGGTCATAAATATCCCCCTCCCCCAGTTTAAAACAAAGCACCGTGTTCGCAGATCTGTTTTCGTTGGAACCTACAAATGGTGTTGATTTGACATTCGGCGGTGAAAGGAACGTGATACTGACACCAATGAAACTCTGTGGCGAGTCTCTACCCGTATGCAGCGACAAGGATCTGCCCTATTCTGCCTTGCATTATTGTGTGAAGGTCACTCTCCTAATAATAGAAACAAATTGGACATGTTGCATCTATAGGCAACTGGCAAATATGCTGCTTATACACACTCTTGGGTCAACACACATTTGTGTTATGTAAGAGCAACAGATGTGTTGAAACTGACACAACCATAATAACAGTGGCCATTTTAATATATCAGGCGATTCTTGCTGTGATGTATGACTGGCCTTTTTTCTCTTTTAAATAACAGAGCATTTTATTTTTAACTAATCAGCGATCTAAACTTTGTATACAAACTGTTTACTAGATTTGGTGTTTGGTGGATGCTTTTACCAAAAGTGCCTTAGAGTAGAATAAGTGCGGACTTTTTTGAAGATGAGTAAGCTCAGTGTGAATCTGAAGAACACAAAGATTTATTTAATTTTACTTCCTGATATTTATATAAAGAGAAATAGCTCCTAGGTGTCATGTCCTTGTCATATTCCTGATACCAGCGGGTGAGAGTGTAATCACATTATTATTTTATACTGGAAAAATCCTACATGGTTCAAAGGCAGCATTAAAAATAGGAATAAAATAATACTGAGCTGTTCACTTTGTTCACAAATCTGCTGTAAACCAGCAGCGAGGTGATCTTTTATTTTCACTTTCAGTCAATTTTTCTTCTTGGAGTTCGTCTTGAGGTTGAAGCTACTTCTGTATATCATGAGAGAAAGGAACTGAACACAACAGTTACAAACATGACAGCATACTTGTATATTAGAAATATATTTTTACACATCACGCATTATAGCTCAAGTCGTCTGCAGGTGTCCCGACCCACAGGCTGAGAACCAGTGATCTACAGTAACGTCCTGCATTCTTTAAAATCACTTTCTCGAAAAAAGGGGTTCTGAAAAAGCTGAAACCGCTTTGCTTTGTTGAGCTGATCACACACGTCCTGTGTGGCTAACGCTAGCTGTATGCAATTCTTTTTTTTGGCCCTTTGTAAGTTTTACGTACCTTAATATACAAACTGTTGTACCCACAGAGATGAAGAAAAAAGTGTTCTTCCAAATACAAAAAAAGCCTCTGTATACGCTTTTGTTTTTTTGTTCTTTTTTTACAATCACCTCATTGCACTCACACGCTGAAACAAAATGCGCATAAGGCCACGCCTCAACAGGATAATGCAAACAGAAATCAATCTGTACATGAATTAAAAACATTCAGTGCTTCAGTAAAATGTCCTAGCATTCATACTGTCTCTTTTTTTGACGTTTGGCACATAGGAAACAAAATAACGCTCACACACATGCCTTCATGATTCGACTCAAATGTGACAATCTCTTAAAAACACGGGGTGATAAGCATTTACATCATTCTTCAACAATGGCATACATTCCAGTTGTTCATAATCTTTGAGTCCTGTCATGTCCAGTCCAGAGTTGGGAGGAGAAACACGGACGGGAATGCAATGAGGGGGACAAAAACGAACAAACATAAAAAAAGACATATATGCATTCATCTAACTGGCATTGCAGGTGCTTGAATCTTCATGGATATGTACAGTGAAGTGCAAATTGAAGTTGGTATGTTCTGTTTGAGGGGGGATGGGAGGAGGGATTGGGGGTATCAAGTTCCATTAGGACTGGGCAGGCACTACTTTTTTAGGGGTGGCTGGCTTCTTGGTTTGCCACAGATGGCTGTGGATCGTCACTGCATCCACGTTGGCCGACATGGTCTTGGCTGGTATCTGGCTGAACTGCTTCTTGTCCGAGTTGTACTTGTAGAGGCCGTCGATCATCTTGCGCGTGATGCTCTTGGGGCCGATGCCCGTCAGCTTGTTGATCTCCTCCGTCTCGGGGCAGTAGGTGTAGAGGGAGCGGAACTGGCAGCCGGCGTCTCGGAACAAAACCAAGAAGTTGTTGGCGCCGGATTTCTCCATTTCCTGTTAAATGGAGAAGATTGAAGTTTGAAGATCACATGTGCTAAAGGAGGGCAAAAGTTTTGGTGATATTTAACTCAAAAATAGGAAGAGAGACAAAGGTCCTGCGTCAGATTTTAATCGACAATGTTGAAAGCATGTGGTGTGCGTCATCAGCACAGCCACCAGGACACCCCGACCCTTCAGAGTATATAAAACAACACATTAAAAGCTCTGTGCCGTTACCTCCAGGATCTTGTTCTTCTGGCCCTCATTAACCTTGCCTGCGAGGCAGCAGTGGGCCAGAGCGTTCTGGATGATGTGCTTGTTAGATTTGGCACTGGGCTCCTTGTATAGCTTTGGTCCTGAATGAGAACAGAGAAGAGGGAACATTGGGATGGGACTGTTGTCATGGCAACTCCTCCAGCTATGTCAGAGAAAAGACTCCCCCTCCCTATTTTTACTCTTTCTTTTGATAAATCATGTATGAAGATTTCTATTGGTGGCACATCCATGTGGTACTGTGTGTAGGGACAATGGATTTTGAGCTATGGATGCAGCATTTAAAAATGTGATCACACAGATTATTTGTTTAAAGGGGAAATTAGCCCTAATTTTATGTGGATGTCCAGGCAGTGTTGATGGTAAATGTAGTTGAGTGAAGCAATGAATTCCTTAGTTTGTTAATGACTGAGAAAGCAGAGTTTGTAGCTGCAAAATATGTTCTTCCTGCATCCAGCACCATCATCTAACGTGACAGTGCCATAAGCCCTTTTTAAACAGGAATTGTGCAGATTTGCATGAAAGCCCAATCAGTCTTATTTCAGCATTGGCAGTATAAAAACAAAATCGGGGAGTGCGGCAAAATGCCACCTACCTACTTTTGTTTATACAGAATGCGCCTTTTTCAGGGCAATGGGGGCATGAGCAAGTAACAAAACATGTAGCCACAGCTAGTTAGTCCTTCGGCGATTCTCTCATAAGTCAGTCCGTTCTTCACCGTCCCCGTCACTTGACGATTAATGGCCTCTTCATTTGCGAGGACAAAAAGGGCACACAATTCCTTGTCTCCCCAGTTGCTCATCTTTACAGTGTCTGTCAGATTTGCGTTTCCCTCTTGCTACTAGCTGCTCACTAATTCCTGCTATCAGCTGTTTCCTGTTTATCCAACACCAGTGGATCGCAAGTGCAGCGTCATCAACAGCTCCTCCCACAAGTCTTCAACAGCCCCTCCTATTGCGGAAGGCCGCCTCGGTCTGTTTAAACTAAAAGGGTTCCGCCAATATGACTACCCTACGAGGCAGAAAATTGGGCACCTTGGATCAACTCACCAATCCGGCTGTGTGTGTCTAAACACTCGCAGCTTGCCGGCAAAACGGCCCAACATTTGCGGAAAATCTGGCAGTGTAAAAGGGGCTATAGTCGGAGGCAAGGAAGAACTGATCTTCCACCTCTGGGTAGCCAGGGGGCGCTCTAGATGCCACTTGTTCTCTTTGCTTGTATTGCAAACTAGCTATGTTACCAGCAGCAAAAATGGCATCCCAAAATTTGAGTGCAAATGATGTTATGGACAAGGACACATTATGAGGATAAATTTACTTGGATAGTTTGCTGTATTTTATCCAGAACCTGAGCTCCCATGAAAAAAAACTGACCAGTGGTGCCTGTGCTCAATTTGCTCCCCAATGCCAACAGAAACGGAATCATTTGGCCGCAATGAATATCAGTGTGGGCAGTATTTGTTGGATGCTGTCACTGACGCTGGAAGAGCCCCGACAGAGCCTGTGTGTGAATTACTAGTGAAAGTGACTGCATGAAGGCTTTGCATTTACTTGGACAGAGGTGTGTTGGAGACCTTCTTCAGGATCCCAAAGATAAAAAGGCAAACAAGACCAGCAGGCAAAGAGGGCAGATGGCCATTGAATGAGTATTTCGTCACCTGACACTATATTTTGATATGTTTTTTGCTATATTCGAGTTTTGTTTAGATGTCAAAAGCTCTTCGCTCAATGCATCCTGGTACATGTAGGCACTGCCAACATGGCTCCCGGTCAGGAGAATGCCGCTTTCTCACTCAATCTAGCACCCACTGAGGAATTTATTGCTTCAGTTGATTACATTTACCATCAACACTGATTGGACATCAACATCAAAGGTGGTGAATTTTACCTTTAATTTACATTTTCCATCTACTAAGGTACCCTACCAAGAGACCCTACAGTGAGACAAGGGGGACGTTTGAACAAAAACACATTACAATATTAAAAAGACAAAAAAAAAAAAAAAAAAAAAAAAACACGGTGCAAACATTACACAAGATCCAGACATTGATCACTGTGTTGATAACTGTTACGATGAAGCTCTCCTACCAGTGTACTCTGTGTTAGATGTAACAGAGGAGGTCGTGGAGCCATTTTCCCAGTCCTTCTCTCCATTTCTGCTGCTGGAGCGACTCGGGGACAGGAAGCCATCTGCAGAATCTGGCCTGGAACACACACACACACACACACACACACACACACACACACACACACAAACACGCAGAGTATTAGGTCACCTTTCTGCACGGACGCTGCTCCTGTACACTCAGCAGATTACACCGTAGGCAGGGCAGGAAACGACTGTACTATGATAAAAGCCAGCTAAATACTTTGAAACATGGTGCCATCTCCATTACACAACAGCAGTGTGAGGCTGTTGGCTGGTGTCACTTTCCCACCCTGTCTACATCATGTTTGTACAGATTTATCCTTCACTGAGGATGAAACTGTGTGTACTATTTCAGTGTGCTGTTTGAGTTTGGGCTTGGTTTGGTTGTTGTACATCCTTACAGTAACTAGTAAAGTAGCAAAGCTTGCAAGCACAGGCAGTGTGTGCAGCGGTGTGAGCAGTCTGGTGCATCAAGGTCAATAAAGGAGGTATTGATTGACCTCTCTGTGCAGCACTTGGCATTTACTTGCTCTTTTTTCTGGACTGCAACTGCACAATGTGTCCCCACCTACGTAAGCAAGTGATTTCCATATATACAGAGTGAATACAGCTAATTCCACTGCAAAATGCAGTTATAAAACACAATATTCTGCCTCTGTAGTATGTGAAAATCAATGAGAAGGGTTCAGTAAGAGCAATAAAGCCAAACAAATGTGCTTTTTTGTGAGAGTAAACTGCCCACATTAACAAGTCATTTTAGCATCAATTTCTCAAAAAGGCTTGATCTTCCATTGGATATTAAAGTCTCATTTGGATATTCACGTTTCAAGAACTGATATCTTAAATCTTACGAGCAGATTTTAAGGCATTTTCTGGGTTAAATGACTTGATAAGATGGATGTTTTATGCAGGGTACGTTCAACAGAACTGGATTGAGATGTAGTGATAAAAACTAAAACAAAACTACATGTATCAGGTGTGAAAAAGCCAGAGCAGGAGTGTAACTTGGTGAGGAGGGCACAGCAGAGAGTTAAGTGGAAAGAAAGAGATTGTTTTTCGGTGGTGAGGTTCATCTTATGAAGTTCATCATAAGGAAATATGATGCTTTTCCTTTAAGTGCTTTATCAATCCCTCATAAAACCCGGTGTGGTGACAGGGTCTCAGTGCAGGATTGGATGCAGGGCAGCATGAAGCGCCTGAAGGTGGAACTGCCAAGCAGGAACTAACCTTCTCCTTCTCAGTTTAGGAGAGCTCAGAAAGTAGAAGAGACCGCCAGAGGCTAAACTAGCACTTCTGACGTGTGTGAAACAGCAGGAGAGAAAGTAGTAAAAGATGGAAGGTAGAAGAATACAGGAGAAATGTTAGACCTGTAAACCGGAGTTAGTCTTTAGAGCTTGGCTTTGGAAAAAAGGTCAGAAAATATCACCGTTACTGCACATGAAGAACAGTTCAACAGTCCATAGTCAAAGTTTCTCAGATATTTTCAGGTTTTGGCATTGTTATAACATTATATATGTCCAGTCAAATTCAGATCTGACTACACCCTGAAGGAGTTTTCCACCAGCTATAAGGCAAAAACACCTGCTGTTACATTTATGCACAGACTTGAGAATTGAGCCTTAAGAGATTATTGCAGCATCAGTTTCTGCTCTGCATAATTCAGTCTGCATTTACTCTACATATTATGCATGGATTTATATGATTCTCTACAGTGGCTTGTGACTGTAATTCTAAAAGCAAGTGAACCAGGTTAAATGACTTTAGCAGGATGACGAGTCTATGTTTTATATTTGATCATACAGCAAATGATTAACTGGCATGAATGCATGGAGTTTTTTACACTTATCATATTTTACTAATCATATTCCTCAAAAGTATGAAATCTTTTGAGAAGTCCCAGTTAAAATCAAAACACTACACCAAAATAACACCCTTTCTTTCATTCCATGTTAAACCACAAGCAGCTGTAGACTTGTAAAAAACATCTCACCTTGGCGATCTCTTCTCAGAGTGAACGCTGTCGCTGTCTCCCAGGTTGAGGGAGGCGAGGGACAAGCTGGAGACTGAAAAGACACGTTGGCGTGAACCTGGATGTGAGACGAGAGATGTGGCACAGCACGACACAGTTACACCGACACAATGGATAACAACAACACAGTGCTTTGTGCCAACCCTGTCACAGAGCAATGCAGCCTCAGTGTTATGACTGAAAATAACCTTTCACATCAAGTAATAGGCCGACACACGAAATTCACATGGACACACCCTATAATAACATGCATATATCTGTATTAACACACATTATATAATGCTTAATTTAACCGACATACAAAAACACAGAGTGCTGCATTGCTCCTACACTATATCATCATGTTCAAACCTTTAATTTGAAGTTCTACTGTATTGTTTTGGGCTCAAAAACATCGCCAATAAAAAAGATATCACAGTTAATCCAGTTAAGCTTTAATCCTATTATTTAAACAAGAATAACTTGTTTAAAGTGTGATAAAATGTGACTAAGGCACTCTAAAGTGGCACAAAGCAAAGTGGCAGCAGGACACAGATGCGACAGATGGGATGACCATGAGTGGGGTTACCATGGTTACCTGTGGCAGCTCTGACAGGGGTTTTGGGGGAGTCCATGCTGTCGCGATGGATGGACTTGGGACGGCCCCGCCTCTGCTTGGCCCCGCCGCCCGGTCGAGGTTTAATGACAGTGTCCATGTCCTCCATCAGTTTCAGCTGCTTCCTCCTGAGATACTCCTGCTTGATGAACTCCCTCCTGGCCTTGTCCTCCTCCTTCCTGATGCGCTCCTCTTCTGCTTTCAGTCTGAACAGACAGAACAGAGTCAGGGCAGAGAAACACCGTGGGGTGGGGTGTGATATTAGAAATGTAATTGTTCTGCTCTTTTAATTGCATGATGTGTCAACATACCGAGCTTCCTCCTTCTTCTGCTCCAACTCAGCCTCCTGCTGCATCTTCCTCTGCTGGCTCTCCTTCTCCCTCCTCATCCTCTTCTCCAGCAGCGCAGCCCTCTTCTGAGCCATGTTCTCCTCGGCCTTTCCGTCCGCCTGGGGTCACGTAGGAGACACAGTCAGTCACCTCACACAGAGTGGAAGACCCAGTAACATTTAGAAAATATTATACTGTACTGTTTTGGAGCTGCTGTTTATTAATCAAGGCTGACCTTCCATGGCTCTGACACAGATTACTGTGTGATACTCTTTAAGTCTTTTTATTCATCTACTCCGATATGATGAATTACATATTTTAAAGAATCTGAGCTGTTACTGTGAAAGGTCAACCCTCCTTTGTGTAATTAAATGAGATTGTGAAAAGGCTGGCAGAGGCAACAAAAGAGCAGATTTGGGGGTCAGAAAGGCTAAATTGCTCTGTATCCTACACAATTAAATACTTTTCGTGCAATTTTATGTTATTATTCTGTTTTTATCCATATTCTTTGCATTGCTGAACCATGTTGTTTCCGACACAGGCACACCAGGCTGCTAATTTCCGTACAAATTGGTTTCAACCAGAGTTTTATTTCAACATCCTTTGCTCATCCCCCAGCAACCACCCTCACATCCACCATCTACTCAACCCTTCTTCAACCCCACATCTCCACAGCTGTGCCTGAATTATTCACAACAGCCCCAGTTTTATGACCTACATCGAAGCCCCAGACTGCAGCTAGCAAGCCATCTTACAACCTATAAATGGGAAGATGACACTTTTCTCAGCTAACATGTTTCTTGAACCATTCATCATCTTGTGTTTCTTGATGAAAACAAACATGGCTGCCCTAGGTTCAAATGTAATTGCCTTTTTTCCCCCAGAATCTTAAAGTGGAGCTGCATGGCTGCAACCTAGATGCTGAGGTTTTATGAATTATGCTGCTGGTTCTTTGGTCTTACTTGTTGACTCCGCCCTTTGGTTCCAGTACAGAGTCCAGAACCAATTCCTCATTAGGGACAGTATATCTTATTTCGTATCATCTTGCATCGTATCGTATCGTATCGTCTTGTATCGTATCGTATCGTAATGTGCCGTATCATATCACATCGCATCGCATCGTATCGTATCGTATCCCACCTCACCTAACCTCACAAAACATTGACTGGTAAAGTTTCATTCAACTCTCTTGAACGACAGTATTTTTGTACATTACACATTGGGCTCTGTGCTAATCCAATTTTTATTTATCATTAGAAGATAAAGTGCTAGAAAATATAGACTGGTTCTTTGAATCAACAGCCCACCTTGAAGAAGAAACCCCGACACATCTTCTGATCGTGATCCGGGCCTTCCTCATCACCCTGCTGCATCTCCGAACTATCATCGAGTGTCAGATCCTCCAGTGGCTTCACAACTGACAGAGGAACCTCAATCAAACTGGTCTTGCCTTGGCTTGAGGCGTCTGGTAGGGGAGGGATCTCTGTAGGTGTCACGGTGAAGGTCTCTACCACAGGGTGGGCAAGCACTTCAGGAAACGTTGACTCTATGGTAGGTTTCAGCTCTGCAACTGGCTTCTGAACAGAATCTGCTTCTGTTTGTTCCCTTTTGGGAGAGCTGGGAGGTGAGTTGGCTACACATATACTGGCAATCTCCCTCTCTGGGGAGAGGAGTGACACCGTCTCCTTGTTTTTATCTCCATCTGAGGCTACTGTGTCTGGGTTGGCGGTTGCTGGTTTCTCCCCCAAGTAAACAAAGGAACTTGCCAAGGGCTGGCAGGGAGAAAATCGCCGTAGCCTGGGGATGCTGTCGACAGATTGCGGGGCAGTTAGGACTCGATTATAAGGTGCCAACTTTAGCTCGCTGGGTCGAGCGGTGCGAGGATTACGTGAGTGAAAAGAGGCAGATTTGCGTTTGATGCTGGTTGGAGAGCGGTGGGTGGAACGAGGGGAGTCAGCAGGAGAAGAGGGTCCTGAGGATCGAGTAACGGCTCGACTGTGTTTTTGTGGTGATGGGTTTGTATGTGGAGGAGGGATTACCCATGCCTGCTGATGTTGTTGCTCCCTCATGGCCATGATGACTTCCTGCTGCTGAGCGAGTCGCTGCATCTCAGTCTGGAGGAAAGCTAACGAATGGTTGAGTTTCTCAATAGAACGTGTATACTCAGTGAGGTCTACCTCGGTGAGCTGAGCATGGCTTTGACCACCTTCCTCTCCTGCACCAGGTGATTTTGTCCAACAGGAGGCTGTGCTGCTTTGCTCTGCCCCATCAGGTGTGTCTGCCTTGCTCCTCCCAAATTTGAAGGTGGGACTTGCTGCCTTGCCTTCTCCCTCAATCTTGCCTCCTTCTTCTCCGCTGGCAGCCCCATCTCCTTTTCTCTTTACCACGTTGAGAAACGCAGAGTGACCCATCTTTTGCCGATGCCTTGTAAAAGCAGCCTCCACTTTCTTCTTCTGTGCTTCGATGGCTTTGCGCTTCTCCTCCAACCTCATCCTCAGCTGCACCATCTCTGTAGCCATAACCTGAGCTGGGTCGTTGGGTGGAAGTTGTACAGGTGTGGGCGATGCTTGAGCAGTGAGAGTAGGTGTGATTTGTTGATGGATGGGGCTGTGCTCAGGGGTCGGGGCCCAGGAGACAGATAATGGGAGGCCAAAGTCAGAGCCCTCAGGAGTGGTCTTGAGGGAGCTGCTGCTGCACCTCCCTGAGTCTGGCAATGATGGAGAATGCTTCTTCTTCTTCTGTTCTGCAAAGCTGGTCATCCTCACTCCTGAGGGGGATTTGCTTTGATTGCTTGGGCAGGGGCTTGGTGTGTCCATATCCAAGTCCATGTTCACAGAGCAGTCTTTCAGAGAGGAATCCTCATCCAGCATGTCCTCTGTATGAATATGGATGCCAGTGTCCACTTCGGTGGTGTCTGTGGTGCTCAGAGGACCTTTGGAGTCCGACTCTGACACTGGCTCCAAGACACTTACACTTGCCCCGTGGCCCTGAGAGTGCAGGAAGAAACCGTTGTTGATCCCCTCCAGCGGGGGCCTGTTTGGGCTGTGGATTATCTGAAGGGCTTCCTCCATGGAGGGAGTTGTTGCTATGACATTGCCATGTCCATTGGGGAACGCTCGCCTAGTGGGCTCCACACCTGCCAGGCTGTCTGGGCAGCCCTCCTCCTCAATACCGACACTCTGACCATTCACTGGCTGGAAGGACAGGTTACGCTTCATTCCACGGGGCAGGTGGTGGACCTTGAAACCAGAACCATCATCAGTGCTGACGGACCTGACCATGCCACGCGTAGAGGAAAGACTCATAGAAGCAGAGTCCTCTTTGTCAAAGGGGATGTCAAAGGACACTCCATAAGGCCCAGACCTTAACAGGAAAACAAAAAGGAAACAGAATTAAATCTTCAGATACTTGTTTTGTGTTTCGATTTCTAAATTCTACAAGGTTATTTGAGGAAAGAGTCTAGTTTGGCAACATCGCAACACGTATTTCCTTATCCCCATGGGATCATTAATTCTCTTCGGGACTGGATATTTTAAATGAGCAGCACACAAACAGGACAGTAATATTACAAACCTTTTCTCTTTAGGCCAGGTGCCGAGGTTGCCATCGACAAAGGACATTGAAGTTGACCTCTTGATCTCTCCTGGATGACATGAGTAAGCAAAGTAAGAATTAAAACACAAGTTTTAATTTTAATTATGCAATTCTGGTTAAACAACAACAAAAAAAGATTAATAAATAAATAATAATCACCTGAGCTTCGAGGCTGGGGTCGTAGAGGCAAACTACAGGATGAGAGAGAGAAAAAAACAGACATGTTATACACTATAATATATACATATTTTTTATTGTCCTTTTTTATCTTTAGTTTGTCCAGATAAGGACTTTGCTGTATGAGCTGATCTTATTTGGCTTAATAAATCATAATTTCATACCTGTTGTCTGCCAACCAACACGCAGCTACACTCAAGTAAATAGCCTTCCTCATGCACTTTTGATAGATTACAGAGTTTCACATTGAATATCATGATTTGGACTAGCTAACCTGGGTCTTTCAGGACTTGGGGGTCTTTCCATGAAGCTCCTCTTGGTTGCCTTGGAGATGGGGATGAGTGGCATATTCTTCAACAATGATGAGGGCTCTAAGGTGAGACAACAGAGACAAATGATTAAACTGTGCTTTCACGTACAGCAAAATAAAACCGCTTCGCTTTGCATAACTTTCAGATAAAATACACTTACACGTAGCTCCACGGCTACAAATCCCTGTTCACATGACACTACAGTTGCTAATGCTACTACTAATTTTATCATAAGGTCTGAATTTAAGACTTCAATCAATCATCAAACATCAATCTTTCAAACAAATAAGTGCACTTCAAAGTGCTGTACAACTGAATGACAAAACTTAGGATGTTAAATAAAAGAAAATGCTGATACATTAAAAAAACCCTAATGATCAGCAATAAAATTGTGATGAAAACAAAATAGTGTAAAATAAAAATTAATGATAATTTCAGAATAGTAACACTACAAAATAGCTGTTTTTTTTTCTTTATTTTTTAAAACTATCCTTATTTTCAGCTCCTCTGGAAGGCTGTTCCAGCAGCTTGGAGTGTAATGGCTGAAAGCATCATGGCGAAATATTTTTGTACTGCTTTGTGAAACAGCTAAAAGAGAAGAACCAGAGGATGCTAGGGGCCTTCATGAACCACAGAGTATTTCTTTTGCCGCAGGTTGGAACCTAACCTACAGCTGCTGGGGCAAGGACATTGCCTCTGCACATGGGATGCCCGCTCTACCCACTGAGCTACTGGGCACCCAACCAAAGAGCATTTGTGAGAGGTAGTCTAGTGCATGGCCATGTAGTGCCTTATAAACTACTGTAATAAAATAAATAAAATCAACACAAAAACTAAAAGGTAACCAGTGTAAAGCCTTTAAAATAGGCATAATGTGGGCTCTCCTTTTGGTCTTGTGTCGTGCAGCAGAATTTTGAATTAACTGTAGCTGATTCATTGTATTCCTCAGTAGACAGGAAGCAAAGTGTTAAAATAGTCTAGCCACGTGCGTGCATCAGTCTCTCTGTGTTGCTCCGAGAGAGAAATGGCCTCACTTTGAAGCTGTTCTTCAAATGATATTTCATGAGATAATGAGGACTGAAGACTTGCCTGTGCCTTCATTGTCCAGCATTCTGGGCTTCACAAAAGACGGCTTGACCACCTCAAACCACCAGAACAGCTCTGCCATGAACACCAAGTAGTTATTCTGAGGACACAGTCGAAAAAGATGAGATTAAATAAACACATAATCACTCAGCACAATTTCTGTTACAGTGAACACATTTTTGTAAGAGTCCTGTGGTCACTTTACCCTCAATATTGACGGACATGTGATTGCATTTTACCCATTTCTCCAGTAGGTGTCTCTGTTAAACCTCACAGGGAACCTCAGATGATGAGCATTACTTCTATCTCTCAGTCTGCATAATAAATAATTCACCAATCTTGCTCCATTTCATAGAGTATCCTCTTAAGGGAAAGATGTTTCAGAGTTCCTACAGTACCTACAGTGGAGTAATTTATGAGGGATCTATATTTATCATCCTTTTTTAGTAAGGCATTTTCCAAAAATCTGTGACCTTTAAGTAAAATTTTAAACATAGCTTTCCTGACTTATTGAGAGTCACGCTAAGATAATATAACCAACATCATGGCTTTTCACGTGATAGATCTTCCACTTTGCTAATAATGTCAACAGTACCTGCTGTAGTAGAGGAGTGATTAAGGCATTAACCTAATTTATAAAATAGAGGTCAGCTATTTTTTTCTGCTCTCAATCACCAGCGTGTAATCCACCAGCCAACCTGAATTGGAATCGGGCAAGAAATGTTGGAGTGATCTTTGCTTCTGCTGTGCCCGCTCGTGTCCATGTCTGAATCAGGTCAACATACAGTGGGAGGTCAAACTGCTTGAGGACATTGCACTGCAGAATGTCCATTTTACAAAGTCACTTCCCTCAGTATTTTCCCAAATCCACTGTTTGTTTTTTTTACCTTACAACAAAGGAAAAATGTATGGACCAAGAAAAACCATTATACCAGAGCTAGGTGAAATATGTAGCCTTTAACAGACATTACTAAAAACACCACATGGTGCAACCTGATTTTGTTGGTGCCCTCATTGTCAACACTAGAAAAGTCCATTCGGTCTCACATTCAGTCAAAACACTGCATTTTTTTAGTGAACAAAGGTGTGTGACACCATGAATAAAATAAAAAACTTGTGAAGGACATTTTAAATAAGCATCATCTTGAAACAAAGCAAAGAATGAGTTGAATTCCTCCACTCAAAAACAAGGTGATCTGCTGATGCTGTTGATCCACTTTTTAAAGAATTCATAAAATTGCCCTCTGGATGACACTAAAGCTGCTGCAGCAACCAAAATCATTCACAAAAAGTTCCATTTCCATATTTGTGGACAATAAAGATGATCATTATTATCATTCTTCTTCTTATTTATTTATTTATTTATTTATTCATTTAAATTGTAAAATAAACTCAATTCAGGCCATTTTTTTCCACTTAAAAATATTTCAATAATCAATATTTAATCAATTCTCATGCCAAACTGGGCGTCTTTTGCCGTGAACATGCTGGCACTCACTCACATATGCACACGTGCACACGATATGCAAAACGAGTGCAGTGAAGCGGGGACGACCTTGAGGAAACACGCCCCCTCCCCGCCCTCGGTCCGTGGTCTCCAGACAAAGACAATGCTGCATGGCTCAGCTCTAAAGATACCTGATTTACCTCATCAGCAACATTTCATTCTGCCGAGCACCCACCAGCAAACACACACACATCACGCATACACCCCACGAGCCCCTCAACTGCTGCCCAGAAGCACAGCAGGAGGGGCAGAGGCAATTAACACCAGTAGCAGTGGTCTCCCTCGGGTGTTACTGCAGCATTTTAACAGGTTTTTTTTTTGGGGTGGGGGGCTCCTTTTTGTTTTCTCACATGGTAGAAAGGAAAGCAGGAAATGTGTAAAAAGGTGTGTCGCTGTGACAGAATGTAGGTGTGAGAAGCTGTAGTGCACATGGCTACCAAACTAATCAAAGTAAAGCAGAGAAATATTGAATTATCATCTTAATGTGCAAACTGAGCAGTTGTTGGCTACAGCTAGATTCTCATCTTTCAATTCCATTTTTTCTCTTTTCTCCTCTACCTTTGATTTGAGTTACAATTACCTTTCCAATATCGCTGGGGTAAAAATAACTCTTTAACAGACAGCTGGTCAAATACTAAAATGCAGGTTACCTTTAGGCATGTTCAGCTTGGGAAGCATTCCTCAATGGCTTAAGACGAACAGAAGAAAAAAAACAGCCATGAAGGGAACAAAAAGGACAGAAAGAAATAAAGAAACACAGAGAGAGACAAAGACCTCCTGTCGTCCGCCCAGCCGGGATTGGTGGCAAAAGCCCAACCTGACTTCTCTCTTCCCATCTGCCTGTCTGACTACTACTGACACACCAGGTGTGAGTGCTCTCGCGTAATACCACCAGTCAGCAGTCACACACTCACACAGAGCCCCAAACAACCAACCACCGCTACGCCTATCTCCCTGTTGACTGGCATTGCTACCTTTGCCAAGTCTGCAGCGTTGCCAAAGCAGTCTTGTTTAGAGATTTGAGTGTCAGTGTGTGTCACTCTCAGGATGAAAACAAGAACCCGATTGGTGATTACTGGAGCTCGGGGTTATGAGGGGTGGAGGGTGGAGGGAGGGAGCTAATCCACTGTACAGGGATGGGCACAAACAGTGCTACACATGCACACATGAACGGTATTAATGCATCATCAATATTTAGGGTTTGCATGCATAAAGATGCAAATAAACACCCTCAGAAATTGATCCAACTCAGCAAGACACAAAGCTTAGACACACACTGGGCACTGTGTTCACTGGGCATTAATGTCAACAGTCATCAGGCCTGAGGGTTGATTAAAGGATCTAGGTCCTGCAGCCAGACAGTCAGACTCAATTTGGAAAACCCGCTCTCCTGATTTAGCGCCAACTTTATCAGCGGCCCGCAGAATAACCTTTTCAAAGTAGGAGAAAAACATCCAAAGAAGACTGAACTTCCGTGCACACATTTCTGAAAGTGTCAATGCTTATAGCTTCACTGCAAAAATTGATGATTATTACTTAAATCCTTGCACTCTTTATCTGCTGGTGGTCTAGAAACTGAGGCTTATCACAGTGCACTGCAAATCAGTCCGTCAACTAAAGCAGTGGTTCTCAACCTACTGGGTTGCGGCCCAAAAATGGGTCGTGGGTCCATTCTGAATGGACCACAAGTGACTCACAGAGTTTTTATTTTGAAGTGTCCGTTTCCTGCTATAGAATGAGTAAATAACGGACAGCTACTTGACAGACTGGCAAACTAACTCCATGACATGGCCAGATCTAAGTATGACGCTGAATGTATTAAACTGTGTGGACCCTGAACTAATGACCAAGGAGAAATCTGGACCCTGTGGCTGGACCAGTTGGGAACCACTGACCTAAAGACCCAAATGCTAATTAATATAATATCTATAAATCAAACAGATAAACCAGTCTGTGTTTGAAAGGGGCAATAGCTTCAAACATTTTTTACTTAGCTGGTTTGTAATGGTGCACCAGAAAATCCGAACTTCCGAGTTCTCAGTTGGAAATTTTAACCTTAACACCCCTGATGTTGGATTTCCGACTTGGAGAGTCAAAGAAACTTGACCGACCAAGACCTCAAAATCTAAAATGGCTGCTCTGCGCTTCAACAGTAGTGAAAGCTGCAGTAATATAGTGCTGGTATCAACTGGTACTGCTAACAATGGCTAACCTGGCTATTGCTAACAACATCTTGGTTTTCCAACTGGTTGCACTGGAACATGATCAACTCAGGTGTGACGCCATTCCCAGCTACAACCTCCAACCTCTAAAGTAAAAGTAATTATGTGTGCCACTTTTTCTGCTGATACCATGCAGTGTACCACACTGTACATCCTAATTACTGATATCTAACAGTCACACTGCACATGATCCACACACTTAAAGCCAAGTTGAAGAGGCAGCTTATGTATTACAGTAAGTGTGTTAATTGCCTTCCTCGGGGCAACCTCAGCACGTCTGCTTCTACAAACCTCCTGGTTAAAGAAGAAGCAAAAACGCTGGCAAATGCCCAAAGCTGGTGAATTTCATTTCTCCGTCTTGGATCCACAGATGGTAATTTAGATGTGCTGTGAATTAATTAAATGAAGAGCCAGTAAATGGGAGTGGGCTGGCGTGATTTACTAGCCTGGTGTCCATTAGGAAAGAAAAGGGTCCTGAGTAATGTGTGCATTTTATGGCTTTGGGGGGTTGGGTGCTGCAGGCTAGTCTATTGTCTCATAAAGACATACTGTGGATAATTCTGTGGATAATGTGGACTGATTTTGTTTCCACCAAACATTCAAAATGTTGTTTTTATGGAGGCTTTCACTGCGAGCCTTGTGGTATCTTGAGAGAGAAGGGGGCTCTTAACTCTGGTGAATTGATGTGCAGTGGTCTACATATTCAGCCACAAAGAAGCACATGGAATCTGACATGGAGATGCCACACAGGCTGGCGTGTGTGTAAGCGTGCAGGCATGAGGACGCTCACTCGCTCAGCCGTCAAATGTTCAGGCTGTGAGGCTTCGATTCCAAATCTCTGCACATATCTGATTTCTCTGGATGACTGATAATGTCTATTAGAGTGTCTAACCCGCACCAGCTATAGTCTATATTTGGTTTTCATAGTGTTGGTTGAACACAACAATACATCTGAATATGGCCCAAAAAACTTATAATTAGACTTTAGAAAAGACATTTCATTAATTAATCAATGGATAAGAATGGAAAACATCAGATCTTAATCACATCTGATGGAAGGATTAGCACATGAACACTTCCAGCTCATGTTTATTTGTCACATTCGCACCTCTGTTGAAACACATCCTCAGCTTCCTGAAAGACGTTGCCCCCGCCCGCCCCGTTCCATCCATCTCCTCTCTAACCGTTTCAGACTCTCCACTGGTGTAAGTGTTATTGCTCTCCCTTGTTCCCTTCTCTCCTGTTTCCATTTTCTTCCACATCAACACCTCTCTCGCCTCCCCCCTCTCCACTAATGTCTCGGCTCAATCTCTATAATAAGGTCTCCATTAGTATGACGGGCCACGGCGTACAGCCTCTGAGGGTGTGACTGCTTGGAAACTGGGTCAAGGTTAGTGAATCTAACTGGTTCTGTACGCAGTTCTGGCTGCACCGCTGCTCTCAGGCAACAGCTCTGCCCCCGCTGTTTTTTTTATTTTATTTTAAAGTTATCTCGGTGAAATTGGTGTCAGCAAAATAGTGTGACTGGCTGGTTTGCACGACTCCATTATTTCTTTTTTGATGCTGTGTGTTTAGATGTGTGTGAGCTGCACTTTATCCATCACCTTATCCATCTCACAAGGGCTTTATTTTCATAAGAGAATTAATTCAAATTTTCTTCTTCTTTTCTCCCTGTTGGCTTGAAATAGAAGCACAGAATATGAAGAACCAATTGCATTTTATATTTAAATAATATATCCATTACTATTACAAAAGTCTTACATCAGTGTCCAGAAAGTCCATGTAATTAATTCAACTCAGCCGACCAATGCATTTAATCTAGTGTGTCTAAAATGCTCTCAACAGCAGGCTGGAAACACAGCTACAACTGCACTATAAACAACCTGTTTTTAAGTTCACGGTGGCTTGAGAGCTGATGTTAAGTCAGTTCAAACAGTCCACTGATGTTTGTCCTCTCAGTGACCTGTGCTCAGTCAGTGCTGAGAACAACAGCTCTCCGTCAGAGGACACGCTGCGGCAGAGTCAAAGTCATCCAGACACATCAACCTTTTATACTGCTTATGCAGCTCCCAGGCAAAACAGAGACGGATGCGTCGGGGACAAACAGAAACACAAAGCACGGAGGGGAAAGTCACACAAAAACCACCAGACAAATTGTGCCTTTTGTGTGGCTGAGTAGTGAAAGTCGCCGTTTTGGGAAGTTGTGGGAATTGTGGCTGTTTGATGAAAAGGTTTTCTGCCGACAAAAACACATTTATGATCGCAACTAGAACAATATTTTTTAGAGAAAACACTGATCTTTTACATAAATATAATATTAGTCATGCACACCCACACAATGTATAAATGTAGCATGTGTTTCTCAAACCTGAGACCTTGCTTCCCATAAATCCTACAACACTGGATTTAAGCAAGAGGAGGGACAAGAATAAGAGCGTTTAACAAGCAGTGGTGGCCCTGACCAAGTAAAACAACATGACATTGAGGAGTACCAAAATCAGGTTGTGTATTTCATGAAAGAACAGCATTGTGTCATCTCTGTCCATCATAATAAAAACATTAAAGCTTCCTGACTAATATTGCCTCCTTAGCTGCGACCAGCAGCTCTCTAGCTCGCTCTGTCAGTTGGTTGGTCAGTCCACAAAAATATCCCCACCCTTTGGTGGCCACACTTTTTGCCCTCTAGGAGGCTGAAATTTGGCACGCAGCTTGCAGCTATTCATGCTTGTTTTACCAGACTTTGGTTGATCTCAGGTCCTATATATGTTTTTATTGTAGAGGAAAGGAAAGTAGGGCAGGGAGCGAGTCTACTGTCACAGTTTTCCAAGCTGATTCTATCTGGCGCACTCCAGCAGCATCACACATTTATGTATATACAAAAAAATTACAATCAATAATCTCACATTAGTAGCAGATAACCTTGAACCCCACACACACACACACACACACACACACACACACACACACACAGTGGTGACACTGGTGTTAGAGAAAATGAAGCTCTAACAAAAGTTCAGTCAGGAAGATTCTACTTTTGAGTGCTTAGGCTTGTCATTTATTTCTCATATGGTCTGCCATTCTGTCCTCAAAGACATGCTTACTCGCGTTATTTGCCGTCGTTGTCTGGGGCTGTCAATTGAGATATCAGCTGTTCAATCAGCTAATCACATTTAACCAATAGCACGGTGACACACCTTCATTGTTAGCCTATCATCATGCTGCTGTCTTTTTAAGTATGATTGTCTTTTCCCCTCTAATACATTCATGCTGCAATTGTGCACACTTTCCACCTCCTAATCATTGTTTAGCCATCGCAGAGTCATCAGCCTCATCACCCTCATCAGCCTCAGGAGAATCACCGGCCACCAGCCACCACCACCACCAGTGTCTGGACTCCACGGGGGGATTTATCTTGCTGTTGCTCAGGGTACAGTAGACACCCCTTGATTACAAATCTCCCTGTAGAGTCCAAAGTCTTTTTGTTGAATGTTAATCATCACACCTGTAGGAGCCAGAATTTGGCATGGATTTCTTGGAACAAGTCACAGTTATGAGCCTACTCAGCCTCTTAGCGGCTTTTTCATTGATGGTAGTTGCCACAATATCCATTATTCTATACACCTGTAATCAAATTTAAACAATTTACTTTATTCATGTGCCTCTCTCTCCCTAACTGAAATGCAAAGCAAGCTGCAAATAAGAGAGTGAAAAGAAGTGAGTCAGTGAAAGAAAGACAATGATTGATCGAAGGAGACAAAGAACGATGGGAGAAAATTAGAAAACTCACAGAAAATCAGACTGAAACACAAAAGGAACAAAAAAGACAGAAAGAAAAGTGGGGAATGGATGACTGAACATGTTAACGATAGAAATGAGGAAAGAAATAATGAAAGAAAAAAGAAAGAGGAAATTAAAGAAGGAAATTAATAAAGAAAGACAAGGAAATTGTGTGTGAGGAAAGAATGAAAGAAACACATGCAGACATGCTCAGAGAGCGGCGCAGCTCTCCAGGCTTGTGGTTGGTGAAGACAGATAGTTTGGATTGAATGGTTTTTCCACAGCATGACTCACCACACTGGCCTACAGAGCTGCCCATTTCTCCTGTTTCATTTAGCCTTTTCTCACTGGATACCGCACCATATGCTTTTCTAATCTGTTTTGTCGACAAGCTCATGAATGAATTTACACGTACGGGATTTGTGTCCGTTTATGGAAACAACCATTAACTTAAGTATAACTCCACATTTTGATTTGCCTGTAATTTTGCAAATGTGCAAACTACAATCTGACATTAACCACTTGCTTGGATTTTATGTTAACAGCCATTTCAGAGGAGGTCCCTCTTTTCTCAGATGGTGGTTTTTCCACTAACTACAATTGGCATTTCTTCTTTCTGCTGGCACACACACATTTGCAATATCGTGAAGGCTCAGTTTCAACAAGTCAGTAGTTCAGCAGTTTACATTCTGACAGATATTTGTCCAAGACTGTAATGACGATTGCACACTAACTGTAAAAGTGATTTCAAAGCGGTGGAGAAGTGGTTTTCCAAAGGGAAGCTTTGGAAACCAACCAAACAGGATCAGTATCACAATACAAGCATCAAGTCACTCCAGAGATTTCTATTCCGTCAGATGTAGCATATTTTTGACCGGAAAGAACAGAAAGTCTTTAAAACGATCATAAAAACCGATCCATGTAAAAGACTTTAAAATAGATCTCATTTTGGAATTGGACCTCCCACCCTTGGTGTTGAACGTAGCCAGGTTTGAGCTGTACCTTGATGGTGGACGAGGCGTAGAGCATGTCCTCCAAGCTGAAGTGGCAGCAGCTGTTCAGGTTGTCTTTGCAGAAGTCCTGTATGAGCTGCAGGTTGTACAGCCGATCAGCCAGCGTCATGTTCTCCTTCAGACAGACATCTGGCAGGGCAGAGGGAGCCATCATGTGTCAGTGTAACGTCAGTCTGAATTTGATGATTTAAGGGGTTCTACTTTGACGCACACATCGGTGGTTTTCAGAGCACTGAGATGGGTGACGTGTCTTAAGAACAGTGCTGAGGGTGTTAGCAAGTAACTGCTGAGGTGTTAAAGCACAGTGGTTTGTGAATGACAGACTAATCATGACAGCGAGCTGCATGTCATCAACCTGTGGGTGGAGCTGTGCGTTAATGTATTAAAGGGTAAACAGTGTTGAGTGATTGATCTTTTGTCCCTGTGATGTTCTCAGTTGCATTAAATGTTTGTGTGTGTGTGTATATGCATTGTATGTGTGTGGGTGTTTGTTTGGCCCACTGACAACACACTTGATTATCAAATTGATGTGATTATAATACATCTTCTGTTTGCGACTGATCTCTGATGTATATAAAAAGAGAGAATCACTGTGCTCAGGTTTGAATGTCCTAAAAACAAATGTTTATTTTGGTGACACTGGAAAGAAACTTATAAAAAAAGGTTGGAAGCATTTTTCATTTTTTATTTGGTTCGGTTGACAAAGCTCTTAAACTCCTGCTGATATACTGTATTACGGTCACCTTCAGCTACATTGCAGGATGTCCTGTCCCAAACCAACACACACACACACAAAACAGCCCACACTAACTGTAAGCTCCTTACCGTCCAACGGCAGCAGCTGAGGACAGTAGAAGTGCAGCAGAGCACCCAGGGCTGAGCCATCCGTACTGTCTTTCAGCAGGTTGTCCACTGGGGGGATCCAGGGAACCGACTGGGTCGAGGCCTGCTCCTTCCTGTAGCGAGCCTGTATAACATAGAACATGAATATATAAACCATAGCTGCACAAAATGCGGGTTTCGGGCCAATGGTGGCCCTCAAAAACAATTTGTGCGGTCCCTGAATGTGACATGAAACGCATGCATTAAATTTTTCCGCAATCTCGCCTACATTTAATAAACTACTCGCTACTGTATCAAGCTGTGTCTGCCTCGCAAGTATCTGTCCGGTTAGCATTGGTTACTAGAACTAGACTGGTTGCATGACAAAAAGCGATATCTTGTGACTGTCACAGGAATTATGTTCTGCCATCAATGCTTTTGGTGTTAGCTAGCAATTTCAGTGGACCACTAGCAACTGCATTTTTCCTGTACGGCCCTTGATTATATGCTGGCCTTCTAACTAACTAACTAACTAAGCGAGAACCATTGCTATAAACCGAACTGCATTGTGCAACAGTAACCTACCTTCATCCACAGTACACTTTCTGTTTCTTTATCCAATCATTAATCACAGCTGCAAAATTAGCCATGCATAATGGTGCAACCATCACAACAGCTGTATCTTTACTGTCACTCTAAAACACATTCTGAGCCTTCATTAAATTTACTCATGTATGAAGGTGACTGAATGTTTGTGGAGCCTTACAGCGAGTGTAGTAAAATGTTACAATTGTTGAGAGTGAATAGTCGTAGCGGGCCCACTGAGAGGGAATAAAAACCCACCATGGTAAATATCAGCCCTGCACAAATACAACTGCAGTGACTCACTGACACCTAATGGTGTGATAACAGATAATTATTCTCTACATGTTCAACATTTGTTCAAATTCAGTTTTTTATGTACAGTAGCTGTGCGTGCACCCCAATGGCATGACTTTCCACTACAACACACACAATGTTTGAAGCTGAGAGGGACGATGTTACAAGAGGGTCTACAGTGAGAGCAGCTGGCACAGGGACTATGAAGCAATTTCGTGCCAAATGCTCCGAGACATCCCACCTCTGAACTCAAATTTTAATAAAAAATAATCTTTTTTCTTTTTGACTAATCCCTTGAGACCTCTTCAGTGATTGCCCAAGGCTGTCTAGCTCCACTGACAAGGACCTTCACATTAGCAAATACAGGAAGTGTCTCAACTCCAACACTCATGCTCCTAATGTGTGTATCCCACAGGTTTGAATAAATGCAACCTTACACTAAACTGCAGTTAATTAAGACTCTAGAGAATAAAGGAGAACTGATTTATGACGCAATTCACACTCTAAAAATACACGTGTAACATATCATAATTTCTTTTCGAAGTTTTTTCCTGTACAGTCAATCACATGGACGCAGCACAAGGGAACACTCATTAACCAAAACAGGGAAGAGAAAGAAAAGCTGTGTTTATATAACAATGGAGTCACAGGTTGATGTGCACACATGTAAAACAAAAAAAATGATGGCAAAAAAGGCAGAGAGAGGCAGGACGGAGCGGAGACGGTCACTATGGATACATAGATGAAAGAGCACAGCGCTGATTAGACTTACGGGCACAAGCTTCATGTACCACTTGGTTGGAGACTGCAGCAGCACAGCAAAAGAAAAAAGACAACAACGAGGAAATACTTGTTAGTGAGATTAGTTCGTAATGCGATTAGTAATACAAGGAAAGACATGACAGCAGCGAGATCAAAGGGAGAGAACCTGTGTTTTGTTGAGAGTGCACGAAAAGCGGCCCACACAACCCAAACAACCCTGAAATTGTGTTCATTGTAATGCGGTGTTAAGTTCTGTGTGTGTATCTCAGGCTTTTGATACTCATATGTCTGCAGAATTAGAGTTTAGTTATGGCCACGGCATATATGGGTTACTTCATAGTCACAGTGTCTCTTGAATAAAATGGCACTGCAACTAAATAGTGAACAACAACAGTTCAGTTAGGACCACTTTAGTAAAAGAAAACGTTATTTCCATTGCAATTTGATATTTGGTGGTATGGCTCTGTTCTGGGACCTCTCTGCCCCTCCACGTGCCTATGTGGAAAGCCAAAGGCAGAGAGAGCAGGCCTCTCCACCCTTCCCACGACTGCATGGAATCCTTAAGACAGAGAGAGCACTCCTCTCCGCCCTTCCATGTGCCTACATGGAAAGCCGACGCCAGAGAGAGCAAACCTCACTGCCCTCCATGCGCCTGCATGGAAAGCCTAAGGCAGGAAGAGCCCACCCCTCAGCCCTTCTGCGTGCCTATGTGGAAAGCCTGAGGCAAAGAGAGGACACCTCCCTGCCCTTCCATGCGCCTACATGGAAAGCCTAAGGCAGGGAGAGCAGCAGCAAAGATGCCCCCAGGAACAGAACAGAGCAGCATCAATGACAAACAGAAATGACATTGATAAGTCAGACACAGCATGAAAAGGAGGAGCTGGGGTGGGGGCAGGTTGCAAAGCAGTTTGCAGAGAAGCAGCAACAGTAGACAGGCCTGAACAGTTTAAATAAGGTGCCCTGAATGAAATTTGCCAATTGGTTGCATAGAAAGTAATAATGTGATCTATTAGCAATCAGCTGATCGGGCTGTTTGGGATCAACTGTTGTAGCTGGGATGTGACCTGAGCTTAACACCGTGGCCTGCCTGAACTAACGCTATGCTCCATATGAAACATTTCAAGAACATGGATCTTTAGACCTGCAAGTAAGCTGTATTACATGTAGCACACTGTAGGCAATCTATAATAATAGCCATGCATCCTTCTTTACTGTCTTTAAAGACATACTTCCTGATTGGGAGTCTTTTAAGTGTCCCAAATTTCCTCTGAGCTCACTGCTGATGTGTGGAAGCCTTCACTGAGAATTTCATGAGTTTAAATTGCTGACATGAATCTTAGAATTAAGGGACACCGTATGGCACCTCCAAAATCAGGAACTGTATTGTACTGTTGCTAAAGAGAAGAGCATCCGCTAAATATCCATAGTAGCTAAAAGAAACCAAATAACAATCCCACTGCATAAATGTAGCCAAACTGTCAGCTATCCACTGACAATGTAAGCTGATTCCAAAAGAGTGGAGGCTTGCCTCAGTTAATAGCTAATTACCACACTACCTCGAAGCATCAAAGAACCGAATGTGAGTGCCACTCAAAGTGGCTGGCAAGTGCTCAGCTTCAAAGGGCGAGCCATGACTCGTGAGAAAGTACAGCCACTTTGTACTGAAGCCCCCCAAATAAATAATACAGACAGCGAGAGGATAAAAAGATCAGTTGCAGCTTTCTCGGATTCTCCTGATTTGATTACCGTCACAGCTCTCTGAATGGTAATTTTAGTCAACAGCGAGAGCCTGATGCCATCAGAGGAGAAAACATGATGTAATCTAATAAACAACATATTAGGTAATCAGTTGTATCTGTTTGCCAGTGAATGGACTGCCTTTAAACCTGATATTGCTCCATCATTGTGACTCTGGATGTGATGCTGTAGTGCAGGGGTGGCCAACCAGTCAGAGACCAAGAGCCACAAAAATTACCGTGGTAGTACAAAGAGCCACATCATACACCCTGTGCTTACAAACGCACTCCCTCTCTCACACAAACACGAAATGACATAAAATCAAAATCCATACATTTCCAATTTTCAAAGCCAGATTTATTTATCTCACACACAAATGAATAACAATGAATAGAGATACACACAAACACAGTCTCTCCCTCTCATACTGTCTTCCTCCGTCCCCCCTCCACACTCAGTCTCTCCCTCTCCCACTCTCTCTACACACATCCACACAGTCTCTCCCACTCTCATACTCTCTCCAGATTAGTGTTGTCACGGTACCAAAATTGGGACCCACGGTACGATACCAGTGAAAGTATCATGGTTTTGAGTAGTATGATGATACCACAGCAACAATGAGGCAGATGTGCCTTTTGTCATTTATAAAAAGATAAATCACTTTTCTATAATACATCAATGATATTTCAATGGAATGAATTACTTATTGACTTATTCATACTTCAAAAACAGCATCAATAAGTGATTAACATGGGGGGATCAAAATAAAATAAATAAATGAAATAAAAATCAACCAGCCACCCTCCTCCCCTGACAAGTAAAGAACAGTCCCTAAAGTGCGGTGAGGTTTGTGGGCCTTTACCTGCCACAAAGAGAAATATGAACGGCTCGTTTCTCCTCTGACACGCCTCATACCTGTGTGCCACCACAGCTCGGCTGTTCAGGTATTTCTGAGCAGTCAGGATGCCAATTTATTCACCTGGAGCCGGGCTTCTCAGGTGCCAGTAAGCCATTATCTTGCGCCGCGGAGCACTATGGCCATTATTGGCCAGTGCATGGAAACTCACCCTCCTTTGATTGGACTTTGAACTTATCCCACAGTAGTGGCACCATGTCATGTACCGTGGTGTTTAAGTAGCAGCCTACTGCGGTCTACCGTTGGTACCAGTATACCGTGCAACACTACTCCACACACATCCACACACAGTATCTCCCTCTCTCATACTCTCTCCACACACGCACACACACACACACACACACACACACACACACACAAAGACACGCANCACACACACACACACACACACACACACACACACACAAAGACACGCATTTCTGCCCTGACATTTTGTGTTGTGCGATATCGCCACCGCGCTGCAGTCCTGCATTCCTCCCGAACTCCACACCCTCTCACCTGCCTGTGCGCACTCCTCTCTCTCTCACTCGCTCCACTTAAGCCTGTTACATTTCTTAAAGGGCCATACACACTCATAACAATAAATTGATTTTTTTATGACGGAAGAGCTGCACGCCGATGGTTTTAATTAATGGATCGAAGAGCCGCACACTGATAGGCAAAGAGCCGCATGCGGCTCGCGAGCCGCGGGTTGGCCACCCCTGCTGTAGTGTATATTTTCTATGTCCGGCATTATTCTCTTGAAGTATATGTGAGCTCCTTTCTTTATTGTGCTACGTATTTTAGCAGATATTTTTTGTCATTTACATTGTCATGATTCCATGCATTTATCAAACACAAGGATGTGGGTTCCTGAATATTTGTTGAACCTCGCAAATTTGGTTATACTAATACATGTCTTGAAAACAAGACCAAGATCCCTAACTTAAAGAAACCATTAGCTGTTGTGCACTGGAATTCAATGAACATTGCAAAAGGTCATTCAAGGCAGAGAGGGAGAAATAAAGTCTGCCCTCTGCCTTCCAATACATGACCTCATAAAGTCAATGCAAGCTGAACATTTGGTTGGCAGGATGGGAGCATGGCATGAGACAGAGCAGGGGAGATCGATCTTTGGGTTATGATGAACTTTAGGCTTCTCTGACTGTCATTGAAATTCTGTATACGTGCAGGAGGTGAGCCTGGGGTTTTGATAAAGGCTGCTGTGATGATGCAAATGGCTACTAATGCCCACAGATAGCCCATGAAGGGGTCAATGTGAACTTTCAATGACAGGGTATTCAGAATATGCAACTCGAAGCCTTGCTGCCCCGGTTAGTTTGAGAATATGATGGAGGAGATCAAGACTGTCTGCGTCTAAAGTGATGATCTAAGACTGTGGGCTAAGCAGGGTCAAACAGAGTTTAAAATCTGTTATAGCCACCAATCAAACCCCTGGGGAGAGGTAAGGCCTTCGTCCATCATCTCCTTAAAGAAAGGCAAACACACACACAAAAACACACGCACACAAATGTACAACACACATACACTCCATCCATCTCCACTTCAATCATCCTGCAACTCTCCCTCTTCCCCATCAAAGTTCATCCTCTCAAGCCAGACATGTCCGGCTGAGCTGCGGCTCAGCGTTTGCAACTTAAAAGGATTAGCCCTCACTTCTCTGTCCTGACGCTGCCTTTGCAGTCACCCACCCCCCACACACCTCCCTCCTACTACCCTCTACCCACCCTCACCCCTGGGTACGGTACAGTAGGTTAAAATAAAATCATTGTTGCCCCGGTGAGCTCTAAGGGTTGTCCTAGGAGGGTACGTGTCTCTCTCTGTCTGACTGAGACAGAGGCTGCCTGTGTGACTCACACTGCAGTCATACAGCAAAGACAGAGGGGGGGGGATTTGGGGAGGTGGGGAATGATGGAGGGATAGAGGAAGGATAGATAGAGTGGCTAGACGTCTGCAAAAAAACAAACAAAAGGGAAACAGTGATGCACAATTTTTTTAAATCATCAAAGTTTAAATCATTTTGCGCCCCCATACCCTAATGCAAATTACAGACAAATTCCTCTCTTTGTCACCTTGTTCTGATTGACTGATGTAAATGAGACCCTCATTTCCTTGCCTCATTTCGGGCCAATCAACTTACGTGATTGTGTGTGTGTGTGCACAATTAGGACATTAATGCTCAGGCTTTGTTGTGTCTCAGTGAAAGGCAAATAAAATGAGTGGTTTCTTTCTCTCATAAAACAACACAGCTTATTGTTAGTTTGGCAACAGAAGACACCATTTCTGGCCTGATTGCAGAGGCAGAGGAGGGACAGAGAGAGTCAGACAACAGCCTTGTGGTTTTATGACCACCCAGTAAAATTTATGGTCATAATAGCCATTTTATGACTGATACACATATGTAGAATATATACATGTATATAAACTGAGACACTGAAAGGCAGAAGACAAAAAACACTTGGATGGAAGCAGAGTCATTATTACATCTGAATACCCAAAACGCTGACTGTGCCTGCCTTGCGTCTGCCAACACAGCAAGCAGTTGTTATGCAACGTGTCCTGTCTGAGACAGCGAGACCACTAAGGTAGACACAAATTAAAGTTTAAAAACGGTCCTGTAAACAATATGCAGAGAGTGGTTTTAGAAAAGGCTGATATTTCACCAAGTATTCATTCGGCTCAAATTTCACATGTACAATGCAATGAACAACACTGTTCTTTCTGATATTCAAAAAAAGTACTTAAAGGGGTATTTCACTGCGAGAAAGATCACCTTTTTAGAGAACTGGGCTGCAGTAGAAAGATAATTATATTGTATAATTTTGAAATTGGTGCTATACCTGACCAGAGAAAACACAGAAAAGAGGCTTTTGCTCAAGAGGTAGAAAACCTACAACTTCCAGAAGCACTGTGCCACACCGGACCAATAAACGCTTCCACTGATAGGTGACGGTGATGTGAGCTTGTCCGTTTTAACACAGAAAACAATATGACGGCCGGCTGGTTATTTGAGCTGCTAGATAAGCAGGGAAATCTGGCTGCTGGCAAGATGGGAAGAGGGAAGTTTACCACATACTGTACACATGGTTATGATACAAAGCTGGTTGAAAAAACAGAAAAGTGCCTCTTAAAGCTTTGAACAGACAGAAGCAGAACCTGTTTCAGCAGCTGCATGCAGACACACTGACTGATTTGAGAGTACTTTATCGGAAAGTGTACAACTACATCATCTAATGACTGACTTTCATCACAGTTCAGACTAGAACAATGTAGCCATGAGCAACAGAGAGAGACAGTCATCATGAGGACACACACTCCCTCAAACACAAACACACACACACACACACACACACACACACACACACACACACCAATCCGCGTGAGCCTCCCTGAGGTTAGGGATGATGTTACTGAAGGGCCAACACTCACGCTTGGGGGGCCAAACAAACTGATGTGTTGGCACTCACATCATGAGCAGGCATGGCTCCACATGTGAGACACTCAATGACAGGGTGACTATGCTGCAAAGAGACTCTGACTTAACTCGAGTTTTTCCGTTTTGGAAAGAGTTTTCTTGTTCAACAAGCATGAAAAAATGTAGATGAAATGATTGGTCACTTATTTTTGATGCAACTTCACCAGTTAAAAGTGTGTGTGCTCATGAGGGATAGCTGAGGCATGCTGTGTGCTGCGTCTGCACACTGACTGGTCAGATCAGCATCAAACATGGTGGAAGTCTGCACAGCCCTGGGACTGGGAAAAGAACCACACACACACACACAGTGCAATGCTTCATGTCAACTCCCTACAGACGAAAACAAAAGGGACAGGGTTTCAATATTTTCCTTAGGTAGTCTTTCTAACTCTAAACATTCCTGCAAAGCAGCATCACTGGCTGTGTCACAGTTTGTTGCCTGGCATAAACTGTGACAGAGAGGAAGCTAGGAGAGGAGGCATGACCCTGGGGAAGGGGTGAGAAAAGATCTGATGATAGAGGAGACAGAGTCTTGAGCGTAGGAGTAGAGTAGAGATCAAGGGCATGGTGAAATTGAAATGTCAAAAAAGGAAATGAATAATAAAAGAGAGCGGAGACTGAACGGCTGCTGATGAGTGTGAACTGAATTTTCTCAGGGTTATCTAAAATGTGTTGAGGGGGTTCATGACTTTCAGGGATCACTGAAACTTGCTAAAAACCCACTGCATCATACAGGAACCACAAAGGTTACGTTCCTGTTTGAAAACTGCTGGTGGTGCGTAATAAATGATACAGAGGTGAGAAGCAGAAGCATGAAGAATGAGACATCAGTGTGACATCATCCACCTGACCCCCCCTCTCCCTCCTCTTGTCTGATCATCTCTCTGCTGTGTCGGGGTGATAATTAGTGAATGCTATGCCAACTCTGACCCTCACTGCCAGACCATAATACCTAATGTAGCACTGACCAAGCACCCAGGAATAGTGCTGGGCTTTGAAACCATTTTTACATAGTGGTCAAACGTCCAGATCTGTCACGTTATGCCATGGGGCCCAAAAATACTTTTCCCCATAGACTTACATTGTAAAAGAGATGCCTGTAAGTCAGCGGATATATTGTTTTGAGCATCACAACCTCCACAAAATGACATGTTTCACGATAGGTATTTGATCCAATCAGTTAATAACATTTCAAAAGTCTAGAAGTGCAGATTAAATCATACTTTTATCCCCACTCAAGTTAGCAGAGGGCTAAACCAGAAGTTGCTCTATGGGCCCCACAATGCAGAAGATACAGAAATCAATCTTTTTTTGGCTTTCCGTACCACTGAGCAACTTTCATTGGAATGTAGGGGGCTCCGCTTCAAACTCCATATCCAGTTTTCTTTATACATCCATGGTACTGACACACAGACATGGACCTGACTGAAATTAATAATCAGTGATAAAAAGGTTTAGGCCCGGTGTCCGCCAAAGCTTTTTTGCTATAGATGCCCAGCTGGGAGCGTTTGAGAGCTCTCTGAGGGAGCACCTTTTTTGCAGCTGGAACGCTCTGGCTCCGTGGAAGTAAACATGTCGGAACAAGATAGAGTTCTTGCTTTGGATGAGGGGAAGACTATAGCATCCAGCGAGAGAAGACTGACGCACCAGTTTGTGTTGGTTCAAGAGAGGAAATAAAAGATATATACAGTGTAGGGACATATTTCTCCCCCATGGTTGTTTTTGTTGTGCAGCACTTGTACGTGTAAGATGAGACGGTTTGTCTTTGCGGTATTTGTCCCTCCTACACTGTGACTGCCAAAGCGACAGTAAGAAGTGCAGCATTTTTACCCAAGCTTGAACATTTTTAAACCCTCAGCACTGAGAAAAAAATAATGCCAAAGAGGCAGCGATCAGTGCAGAATTCATGGTCAGGGCCTCATCATATTGCCAGCGTTTGTAGGGCACCGTAAATATGCAGCACTCCCATTGCTAAGGATTGAAAAAATACACTGGCCCCGCTTTGGTGAAGACAAGCCCTTAATGTGGTTTTTTGCAGGGCTGTGTATTGGCAAGAATCAATACCTGCGACAATACAATTATGATTAAATATACTGCAATATAGTGTGATACTGTAAGCAAGGCGATATACTACACTAAAGATAAATTACAACACTGAAGGATCTAGCCATCAGGGGTTTAAACAAAACAAAATGAACCACTGCTACTAATCTTAACATGTAAACTATTAATTTAAAACATAACATCATGATATTAAGGTGTATCAATACTTTCTTGCCAACCTACTATTTTGTGAGATTTAAATTCCTAAGTGAACGAACATATTAATCAGTGTATATGTGAATAATTTATTGGAAATGCAGAGTCAAACTACAGAATCCAAATACAGATTTGTCTAGTTACTCAAATACATAACACACACACACACACACACACACACACATACACACACAAACACAGTTATATAACAGATTTGGACTGAGGGCAGGACTTCTCCCTAACCCCACATGAATGACCTCGCACTAACTGACTGCTGGCCTAATGAGACCCGAGAGCACTGATCTGCTGGTTAGGGCACAAATGAAGTGAGTGAAGCTCGTACTGTCGCCACGGCAGATAAACTTGTTATCAATTTGAAGATGTCTCCTTTTCTCATTTAACAAATACAGACTGAGCTTACGTCTAAAACTCGGACATATGTGAGTGAGATTTTCTTTGACGGTAGCTGAGTGTTAAGGGCTTAAGATCTTCTCGAGGAAACTGGCCTCAGATATTACAGTGACACAGAGGTCTGGGACAAATATCTGTCAGTCAAAAGGAGAATGCTGTGGTAAGTCCATTAAGTGGCACCAAGGATTTCACTTAGCTTAGTTGAAACTGTCCATCAAACTGGCGACATCTGTATGTTGAAGTGTAGTTAGTGAAGTGTTGGGAGAGAGGAAGGGAAGGAAAAAAAACACCCACCCGAGGACTCCCAGCAGGCTCGGCACTCTGCGTCTCCCTTTTCCTCTGTTCCAGAGAAATTACCTCTTTCAGATACTCGTTTACCTGAAAGAGAGAAGACAAGATTCAAATTCACAATGAGTAACATTTAATATAATATAATATAATATATATTATTATATAATATATGTCGTATAAAGAGTAATAATAAAGTTCCTTATCATATTTTTATCATGAGCATTTTAATTTAAATAAAACTAGCTAATTGTGCTTTTGTGTTACGTGTCAATTTACTGTCTCTTCCATAAGGAACCATGATAGAATCTGTGTTTAAAGGCATACATTGTAGGAGTTTTCGGATTTACTGAATCACCTGAAATTTCAATTTATTCAGAATGAAGTTGAGTTTAGTTGAATCTAATCTAATCTCACTCAAGCCTACACTTTGGACAACATATAGTATGTCTGCCTAAATGTATATGGCTCCAGTTAAAGCAGAAATCAGCTTTCTTTAATCTGGTGAATTTTGGACCTTTGGAACACAAACGGACTCCAACAGAGAGCCATATGTCCGACCAGTAGGACTCCATGACCACACCTGTTAGCTATTGTGTGTGTACGTTTTGTGTGTGTGTGTGTGTGTGTGTGTGAAGCTCAGAGCTGGCGGCAGCCCAATGTTCCTACTAGAAGAATGTAAACAGACTGGGCCCTGTAGCACTGTATGGAGGAGCCGCAGCCATCTGTACAGGCAGGCCATGGAGCCAACCACTTACTTCATAATGTAATGAGTCTCATGTACACAGTGCATGTCGGTTCAAAGGGTATTAGGCCACATTTTACTGTTGTGTAACATGTAATAATACTTGTATAATACCTACTGTAGTAATGCATTTTACAGATCATTTTTAAAGGGTCGTTTGCATTTGTTTTCTTGTAGCTCCTAAAGCACTTTATGTACAGTATATAAAACTTGGACTAAATCCAAATATTAAATGCATGAAAGAATGTGCTTTGCACATTAAAGTGATGGATGGCCCCAAACAGCATTCACCAGCTGTAGGCTTGACAGTAGGCTGTAAAAATGATGTAGTTTGATCACATACATTTGCAGCATCACTTCAGGTTTGCGTGTTTGGGTGAACAGAGCTGCTACACCAAAATAATCTGTCTGTGTTTCAGTGGACATTAACTGGTTGTATAAGAGTGTGCCAGTAAACCCGGAACTTTGTTAGCGCTTTTAGCACTTCCGGTTCTCTCGTCTAAAAGTCAATACGTTTTTGAATGGGATTTTGGTAAAATGCCTCAAATAAGGTCTGTGGTTAACAAAAGCTTAAGCGAGTTTCAGGTTTTGTTCTACGACATAAAACACGTCAGTAAATACCCTACTTGTGAATTTTGAAGCTTTTACGTGTCTTAAAAAAGGCGGTTGCTAACAAGTTGCTCAATACGACTACAAACCCTGTCGGGGACAGAAAACGTCATCACCCCCGATTTCCCCATTATACAATGTTTTTAAAATAAAGCGGCCGAAATCAGTTGAAAGCTTAGTGGCGGTGACGTCAAGAGTCATGCGACCGTGGGGTAGTCATGTAGTCCGTTAAAGCCTAACGTTAGCTTTTTACTTCTGGCGATCGCATTTAAGCTTCAAATGCGGTATGAAAGGTGTTCATATGTGAAGATTATCTTGCTGAACAAAACCTGTAAGTATCATAAACTTGTGTTAGCCACAGAGCTTATTTTCTGACATAATCCAAAACGCAATGCAAAAATCACATTCACTTTCTCTTCCGGGAACCAGCACGATGCTAATCTTCCGGGTTTTGACGTCAGCCCTGGCACACTCTATTACCCTGATTGCTGTTCATGGAAAGAACATAAGAATACAGAAACAAAACACAGCTTAACAGCAACCTTTACACATTATTATCTGTACTACCCCTTGTCAGTTGAAACAAGAATGTGTGTTTTAGCTTTAGAGTTCAGAGGAGTCAAAAAGAAAAGATGCCTTATGTCATAGCTAATGAGAACAGCCACCTTATACATGTGATCCTTAACTGCATGCAAGATGTAGATAATGTTAAATCACACCATCATCGAAAGAAAAAAGCACAAAAATGTCACGTGACGTCACCATATTCTTGTTCCCTGAATTTCTCTTGCACATACAGTGAGTCACGTTAACACATGGCCGTCCTCATATAAATAGCACTCTGTTAAAAGGTTATAAAAGCAGCGAAAGAAGTGAAGAATTTGACAATTATTACACCCAGGAGGATGTTTGCTCATGTGCTGCAAGTTCACCTGTACACGTCATATGGTACGACCTCAGGGTGCACATGTAACAGACTTGATGGTATTTGGGTCAGTGTTTTTGAGTGTAATATCTTGCTGTGCACTGTGGAATTTCAGAGGTCAAGCTGTATGAGCCCAACATTGATGAAATGCCCCTGAGCGAGGGTATCCACAGTAACTTGTGTACAGCACCAGCCTACTCAAAGTTTATGATGTGACACAACCCCAACGGCTAGCATCTTACAATCTGTCCTTGTAGTGACAGTAAATCTGTTATTTTAAAAAGATATACCGTTACCCACCTTGTTGATCCAGGTGGTCACTGCGTCCTCTGTGTCATAAGGTGTTTCCACCTCGGGGTCGCTGGATGAATACTGACGAATGCACGCCATCACCTTCTCGACGCTCACCACCTCCACCGTGTACGCCATCATCAGAGTGTCGATCATTGCCAAGTGGGCGCTCTGGAGGAGAGAACAGCACAGAGAAAGATTTAGAGGGTGAAAACGAGTAGCTTTGAGGTAGCTGGGGATGCTGGCAGGTGCTCGACTGTGATTCATTTCCTACTGATTGCAAAATTGAAGTATTTTAGCAAATTCTCTCAGTCAGTAGCTTCAAAGGTCAAACCCAATTGCAGCGATCAACACCTTGGCCAAGTGTAAAATAGTGCACAATAAGAGGTTGGAAGATGAGAAAATTAGCGGTGTGTTTTCTTGACAATGTAGCTAAAGAGACAGATCACTTTGCTCTGAGAGGAATTGAACCTCAGACCACAGCAGTGATTTTATCTCAGTTAACAGACTGAGTTGTCAGACTACATGAAAATCCGAAGCTTGAACAGAATCAAGATAACACATATGTATAAAAATGAGCACTTCCTGCATTTTACTGATTGCAGACAAAGTCAAAATCCTGTCAGGCCCAATTGAGACCAAAAACAAGACATGAAAAAGCCAACAGTAAGACAACACTGCAAACATATTCCGGAGTGTGGAGCGAGGTATTGAAAGGGTAGTGATTTATAGGATTGAACCAGGATCCTCCACTGTACTGTACATCTGAAACTCTGTCATCAGTTGAGCAGTCCCTTGTGGTTGTTGCCCTGGAAACTACTGTCTTCATCCCTGGTTACAAGACCCAGTTTGCTCACAGCGACTGCTAGCCTTTGAGAATCCTGAATAAGACATCTTCCTGACAACAGAGTCCAATTAATAGAATTGGAATCCACGCTAAGCTGCTAGGGTAGAGTGGGGGTTTTTATTTTGAAAAACTACAAATATGAATCAATTTTTGACATAGAACCGTAAAGTTCATCACACAGTGTCACTGTGAACATCTTTCACTGACTTACATGTCCTACTTTTCACTGGGTAAGACTGTGGTTGATTCAGTTCTGTGCTATCAATCAGTATTCTGGTTTATCTAAGACAAATATCAGACTGTGATGGATTATATTCTCTGCATGTTGTATGAGTACTCCTGCACTTTGGCTTTGCTCCCAATAGAAACTCTTTAGAAATACCACGTTTAAATCTGATATTGAACGCAACACAAGGACCAGAACAAGGAGAGGCGTGGTTACCAGTTCTACGTGGCAACATGCAAATATATTTACAGTCATTTTCACTACTAGTGATCGAATAAACTATGGCTGTAATTTTATGAGAATTTATGTTGTTACTCTTTTTTCAAATGGTGGGCATCTGTTTATGATGAAACATGTCACATATTCCTCCATAGTCTTTATCCACAGTGTCACCTTGTTTCTTGTCTTTACTATTTATTTCCTGCAATCATTACTAGTCATGCCATTGGTCTGGTTTCCATCAAAAAACAAGGACTACCTCATGGATGAGGTACAATGTTTTTCAAAAACTGTTTAAATGCAGAAAAAGGGTTTACTTTTTTCATTAATTTAACCTATTCATGAGATGCAAAGGAAACCAACTTCAACTTTCAGTAGCTTGTGTAGCATTCCACAGCTGTTTAGACTCATCAGGCTAATCTTTAAATGGTATCAGCTAAAAACTACTTGAGGCATTGTGCGAGTATAGTAAAAATCTACCTAAAGTCACATTTTGGATTGCCTAGCACCACTCTGCTCGTAAACTTCTATTACAGAGCCAACGTCAGTGTCTGTTCCACCATAACAAAGGAGAACGGTAAACTCTAAAACAAGCATGTCAAAAAAATTAAAATTTCCATTAAAATCAAAGCAATTCGTTTTAAAGAGAGAGATATTCACACATCCAACTGTCTCGGATGCAGGTGTGTCGGAAAATATCACTTGATTCTTTGAACAGAAAATCCTGAACACTTTAAACACTCTTGATAAAGGTCCAGGAGGACCAAAATAATGGTGTTACTAATAACTTGTGAAGCTGAGCAAGAGAAGTGTTTGGGATTTGCTGTTTAAAGATCAAAATCAGCAACAAGGCAGTCACAAACAATTAAATTGTGCACATAATTGCCATTGTTACACTAAAGAATAGCAGCCTATGGGACTCAAACCCCATATATATAGTGTGTGGGTCAGTTCATATCACAGATCAAAGCATAGGTGGGCAAGTTCATTAACAGAAAGCTTTTACTCAAAATTAGGAGTGCATCAGTTAATAATAATTGGAGGCTATCCTTTTGAAGCAAACCATCCAGCCCTTTTGACAAAGCAAAGAAAATCTTCTATGTTCTCACACTGCAACTAAGTCATAAGAAAGAGGCTGTTATGATGGATTTGTGTATGACTTTGACACCTCAGACAGGTGTTCACTCCTACCAACAGTCCACCTTTGTTTCCTTTAACTACAATGAGCTCTTGTAACCAGGACCCTTCCCCAAACATAATGTCCTGATCATGACAACAATCAATCTTAACTAGACTTGCTCAGTGACAACTCGGTGTCCCCGTTGTACCAGTGCTTGGTTCCCTTCTCTTGCTTGCAGATACAAATATGTTTTTAGTTTGTAAGTTTATTTTTGAAGACTGATGCCTAATTAGTGTATGCTAACTAGCTATGTTACATCATAAAAACAGGCCTTATGATATGAAAGGCAAGTTCAAAGCAGCAAGACTAATTTAGAATAAAAATAATATTTCTCTGGGTCAAAACAGACAAATACAGAGCTTTTCAAATAGTCAGAAAACAGCCCTGTCAACTCTTAAACTCATGCATGTTTACATACTTAGCATATTTTAAGAAAGACACTATGCTGACATGTAATCAATCACTTTAATCTGCAATGTCGGTAGTAATATAAGATAATGTGGAAAGTCTTCACTGCAGCATGGTGGTATGGGTACGGCAAACTGTGTAATCTGTGTATTTCAGTCCTCGGCTCCTACCTTTAACTCCCTCTATTAGTCTGCACTGTTTTGGGAAACCACCAAACACTACCCTGGAATCAAAACGCCAAATATTTATACTTAGGCCGCAGGTTTTCCATGAGCTAACCCGATTCATCAGGCGTACAGTTAAAGCGGCCCCTTGAAGATCCACAGAGATGCTGTGCAAGACAGAGAAAAGAAAAAATATATGAAACATATCAGTGGAGGGTTTTATGATGAAAGTGATGTTGGAGAGCTGCATGTTCCCTCACTCTGTCGTTAACAACCTATGTGTCATTTTATGCTGATAATAAGGCAGAAGAGATTAAGCCAGAGTACTTGGTTAAGTGTTTCATTTCCTCTTGGACCACTCATGTGTGCTGTTTTGCATATTATTTGCTCATGTTTTCTTCTTACTGGGTGTCATTTGTTTGATGAAAGCTGGAAAGACCAAGGGATTTTCTTTCCCCCAAAATGTATAATGATATTGTAATATTGGCTGTCAGGTTAGCAACTACAGTGCATTTTTAGATATGAAATGAATTTGCTATGTGACACTACATTAGCTTAATGCTTAATTTCCACTATCTCTGATCTGGCAACCCAGCAGCAAACCAATCCCATTTAATAACACACTGCCAACATGCTTCCTATTGGCCTTCATTTAGCCTGTCCAAACATTGTAAAACACGATCCCAGACACAAACAGCTAAATGCATGTACACATTACACGTCCTGTTATCAATTTGTAGAGCACATTTACAAATCTGCCCTGTATTTCCACTACAAATGATCAACTCCAGGCAAGACTGATTTCTAAAAGGCCAAGGGACCAGCGTCATTCCTCAAAGGCCTATTTTGCCTCCAGCTTCCTCCCCTTTGCTGAGCAATTTGAGGATATTGATTTGGATCTGCTGTGGCCTGATGAGATAAAATGACAACAAGGAGAAGTAATCTTGTTTACCAGACCACAGACCTGCAGTCTCTAATCATATTGAATGACACCAGGCCATTGTGTGGGAGGAAGAGGCTAGCGTCGGACCACATGCTTCCAGAATTTGTGTGTTTCTGACTCTGGGATTGTGCATACTTCATAATGAGACAAAACAGCTTCATTCAGCACTTAAAAGTCAGAGGTGTTAGCAATTAGCAGCAGTTTGGAGTTGACACAATACTTGAAAGCATGAAAGCCACAGTTTCAATCCATCTCTGCAAACTCAAACTGTTTAAAACTGTAATTAAATGGAAAAAGAGAAGAGTGGAGAAGGAGGAGTACCCAAACAAAGACAGTGATGAGTGAGGCACTTTACACAGAGTCAAGAAAATCACTAAACATCTAATTATGTTTACCTACTTTTAATTACTAGAAATCTTTAAACAAAACAAAATTTAGAACCCCGTTTAAGAAAACAAGCAGTACTGTTTAGCATTTCTAACAATTGAAAATGAGCAAACAGCTTGAAACATGTTTTAGTATCTGGAACAGCTTGAAATCATGGGGAGATTGCGTTGGCTGTTTGGGAGGCTGACTGACACATATTCCCCCTCTTGCAGTTTTCAAAAAATGTTGACCGTGACTGTTTTTGTTTTTTGTCGCGGTCGATCACTTTGCTAAAGGGTGTAATGAGTTTGGCTCTTGAGGAAAAGTGTTGGAGCTGCACTCAAGTTGTTGACATGTACTTCAAAGTGATGACACTGTGAGGAACATGGGCTTCTGAAGGCTGATGGAGAGGCGGGCATCTTCTGCATGTCCACTGTTATGCCACAAATATACAACTTGACATTATTCACCATTTTAATCTCTGACTTTATGACAGGATAGAAAGCCCTGAGGCTAGAATTGCACTTGGGACACTAAAATGCAGCATTAATATAATTTATATTGCACAAGTGCTATATGAACCATCATCAGGGCTTCCTACCTGATGTGTGTGGTGAGTCTGTAAATCAACATTAAGCAATATCATGCTTAAGATTTATTATCATATAATAGTAGTGCCCCCCCGCCCCCCCAAGCCACTTTTACACTGCCTTTTCGAGGTGGAAATTTCACACCATTATGCCTCTACTCTGTGTAAAAGATACAATTGTGGAATGGGAGGACAGAGTTATCACGCCTTTAAGTCGGCATCAGAGGTA